TCCTGTAAGGATTCTATGATTCCAGGAAGTAGAGTCACAATGGAAGTGACTTAGAAGCCTAAGTTAAGCATCACATTCCTAAAACTCACAGTGAAAACACCAGTTTCTGCACTATATTTGTCACACAAATTTTACTACACTATAAGGTTTCTGTCTCCATAATGTTGTACTCTCTAATAGAAAGCATATCTTTCTTTGGGTATTTTAGGCATTTTGTTTTAGTGCATATCACACATTTTTATCCCAAAGCCCCAAGTTAAATTGCAAACACATGATGTTTTTAGTATTTCTTCTATTGTCTGCTTCCCTGCATGGAGCACTTTGTATTGTTTGGGATTTCTTCAGCCCGTGACTGTGATATTTCATCACAAATTATACCCTAATTCTCATTCAGCTGTTAATCTCCATCTCCAGGGGAAACAGAGTGTTCTTCTTTCCCATAATTCAGTGACTTATCGTATTTTTTTAAACAGCCTTACAGCATTTCAGGAAGAAGTAAAAAGATCTGGTTAATTTTTCTGTTAAATTTTTTTCTTATGATGAAAAATCACCTGCAAGAAGTTAAAAACTGCAGCATCAGGCAAAAGGTGAATTTAACAAAAAGTTCACAAGTTTATTTTATACTTTGGAAACAGAAGACAGTATCATGTTTTTGTGACATCATGACTTTCAATATTAGGGAAGCCAAAGCTCCTCATCTTATTCACTCTGTACTGAGGCTTCCCTAACTCTAAGAGCAGTATTAGAGCACTCAGGAACTTCACAAACACTTACTGAGACCAACAAAAATCAACTCAAGGACCCGACCTGGCATATTCAGATTTCCCACTGAGACCTGTATGTCTGTCAACCAATAAACTGTACCATAATAAAACATGTAGAAATGGTTTTCCCAATGTTTTAGCTTGACCACAATAAGCAAGCAGGACAATTTGCAAACATTCACCTCTTTTTACTGCACTGGTTTCCCTACCCAAACATGAAATCCTATTCAATCTTCTACCAAAGTTTTCATCTCCCTCCCATTGCAGAACAACTCCACACTTACTTTTTTCTGAAAGAACATCTTAATGACACTGTAATTTAATATACACACTACCAGCACCTTCTTGGGTTTTGTTTATCAGCATGGAGGCATGATTATTAGTTAAAGTTACTAAAAGCAGTGTAGGAGTGTCTGTAGTGCCAGAGGACAAATAAAAAGGAGACCAACCAAAACATAATTATACTTTTTAAGTTATATTAAGCCTACTGTGCCACCAGCTTACACAGCTACTCTTTTTAAACAGATAAACATTTAAAGCAAGAGAATTACAAGGTATTTAGTGATTTTGACCAAACTCCACAATGTTTTAGCTCCCATAACACAAGACAGCTCATAGAATGTCACAAAATGAGCTTAAGGATGTAACCCAATAAAAGGATGGCTGTACTGAGGCGATACCACAATAACACGGAAACACTGTTTTTCCAGAGATCAGTTGCTCCCCAGAAATCAACTGCCCAGAACTGACAGCCACAATCCAGTGTTTTTCACCACCACTGTCTTTAAAGTCCTATTGGGCTGATTCCACAACAAACCATCCTGGTAACTTACTCTGCTCTACACAACACCAGCCATCCACGGCAGCAATTATTGCACCAAACCTCTGCAAAGCTACAGCAACAAAACTGTCTGCACAGATGTGAGACAATCCACCACATTTTGTGGCAAACCATTTCACTGCCCACAGCAGCAACGACTTACACTTGACTTCCAGCTGAATTCAGCCACTTCTACCTGAGGAGCTTTGTGACTTAAGTGCACGCTGCAGTTCCTGGGGTAAACACGATGAGACTTTCCCAAATTCTCAAATCTGAAGTGTCCCCCTGAGCAAGGGAAATTACTGTGTAACAGTGCAAATCTACTGGCAGTAGTTTTGGTTTTTAATTCGATTATCTCCTTCTTAGTCAACTACTCTGTGCAGAGACTGAAAAACCTTCCCTATAACAAGTATTGTTACATCTTTCCAATCTTAGCCTCTTATTCCAACCATAGACCTACATCAAAAGTGACTGTCCCTGTAGAAATTCATATAATGTTTACTTTCTGCCAAATAAGTTCACCAAATCTCTTATTACACAGGTTTTCTATACTTCAAAAATTGTCCAGTGCCTCCTTTGGGAGATGCCAGCAACAGACCCACATCATTTTGCAAGCATTAATATCCAAACTGGAGCAGTTCCACTACCAGCTTCAGTAATTCCCACAGGAGGGATATTGCAGGTTCTCACACATCCAAGGACTCTGCATTGCTGGGGGTTCATTTAGTTGCATTAAACAGCCAAAACGCTGCTTCTCATGACACAGTTTTCCTCCGACACCATCAGTACCTTGTGCTCTCTAAGTGTTACACTTAAACACGTTTTCATATTAGATGCTCGGCTGATGAGAAATAACATCAAACTTCCCCCTTCAAGGGGAAAACCCCCTGAATTTCGCATCTGATTTAAAGCAACAATTGCCATTACATCCCGAGGAGTCTCCACTCCTTAAACCACCCGCTCGGAACTCAGCCTCACGCCCGCCTGACAGCGCAGCGCTGCCTTGTCAGAAGGCAGACTTTGGGATGACACTTCCACAGAACCATCTCCCGGCCGGGGTGACACGCAAACCCAGGGGCTGTCGTGAACCGCTTTAGTAAAACAAAGGCGGCGGGAGGCTGGAGCCGCAGGATCTCCCCGGCCGCCCGGCTCCGGGACGCGTTTCATGCGGCGCTGGGAAGGCAGGTGCGGGCGGGCGGCTCAGCCCCAGCTGCGGAAACACGGCTTAATTCCACCACAAAGCGCTCCACGCCTTCCAACAGCGCCCGGGCGCCGAGCGGAGCCGCCCCGGCTGCCCTGCCCGGGGCTGGGGGGCACCGCCAGCCCTGGGGGTCACTCACCCGGGGCCCCGGGGCCCTCGCCGCCGGCCCGCCGGGCTCCCGCCGGCCCCAGGCTGTTGACGATGTAGTGCGAGACGCGGGAGCTCTCGGACACCGACAGCACGAAGTCGCCGGGGATGGTGCCGGAGTCGCGCACCAGGAAGGTGCCGTGGCGCTGCCCCTGCAGCAGCGTCACGGCCTCGGCGCGGCTCAGCCGCCCCCAGTACCAGCTGGCGCGGTCCTCGGAGTCGAACTGCCCGGCCATGGGGGCCGCGCTCCTCCCCCGCCCGCGGCCGCCGCCGCCCGCGGAGCCGCTTCAAAATGGCGGCCCCGGCCCTGACCTCACCTACCGGACGTGACCGCGCGCGGGGGCGTGACGTCATCTCCCCGCGCGCGCGGGAGGCGGGGGGGGGGTTCGGCTGTGAGGGCGGGCGGGGAGCGCGGAGGCGGGAACGGGCCGTGACCTTTCGGAGCCGCGGAATCCCCGGGTTACAGACTCAGGTTGGAAAAGACCTCTGAGAGCGTCGAGTCCAACCTATGACCGATCACCACCTTGTCAACTGGAGCGTGGCACTGAGTGCCATGTCCGCTCTTTCCTTACATTTAGGGATGGTGACTCCACCCTGGGCAGCCCTTTCCAATATCTAATCGCTCTTTCTGTGAAGAAATTCTTCCTGATGTCCAACCTGAACCTCCCCTGGCACAGTTTAAGACTCTGTCCTGCTGTCCCGTCTCCACCCTCCTGTCAGGGAGTTGAAGAGAGAGAGAAGGTCCCCCTGATGCCCCTTTTCTCCAAGCTGAGCACCCCCAGCTCCCTCAGCTGCTTCTGCTGCTCCAGACCCTTCCCAAGCTCCGTTCCCTTCTCTGGACACTCTCCAGCCCCTCAGTGTCTTTCTTGTTGTGAGGGGCCCAAAATTGAACCCAAGATACGAGGTGTCTCAGCACAGGGGGACAGACGGTCACTGCCCTGGTCCTGCTGGCCACACCATTTCTTGCTCTGTGGGTACCAGTGAGGGCTGACCACAACTGGGGGGGCCCACTCTGGGTATTTGGGAGCAGCAATGACCACCACCAGCACCAGCCTCTCCTCACACCTTCCCAGTGCTCCCACAGGGCTCCCCTGTGGCAGGAGGAGGGTGCAGATGTATCCCAGCCATTGCCCCTGGAGCATCCCAATTCCTTCCCTGTTGCTGCAGATCACCGTGGGGGCTCCTGTGAGCACTGGCTTGGCTGCAAAGGCTATGAGATGGTGAAAAGCCTTGAGGGGAAGCCTTATGAGGAGTGGCTGAGGTCACTTGGTCTGTTCAGCCTTGAGAAGAGGAGACTATGGGGAAACCTCATCAGGGTCTGCAGCTTCCTCACAAGGTGCAGAGGAGGGGCAGGTACCGATCTCTGCTCTCTGTGACCAGTGACAGGACCCGAGGGAGCAGCTGGAGCTGTGCCAGTGAGGTTTAGGTTGGATATTAGGAAACAGTTCTTCCCCCAGAATGTGGTTGAGCACTGAACAGGCTCCCCAGGGCAGTGGTCACAGTACCAAGCCTGACAGAGCTCAAGAAACATTTGGACGATGTTGTCAGGCACATTTCAAGATTCCTGTGGGTGTCTTGTGCAGGGCTAGGAGTTGGACTTGATGATCCTTGTGGGTCCCTTCCAACTCAGGATATTCTGTGATCCTGCATATTAAAGGCTGCAGCTCACTGTGTGTTTTCCTTCAGGGCTGTACCAGCAGTTCCTGCCCTCATCCTCCCTGCCAGCCACATATTCCTACTCCACGGCTGTGCCAGCACAGCTGTTTTCATGGGACTACATGCTGAATTGGGCCAACGAGCTGTTCTGGGTTAAAAATAGCCCTGCAAAAGAAAAAGTTGAATTTTATTCAGGGCAACTGACTGCATTACCACAGAGGTCTGCAACAGGGAAGAGCTTAAGTTCTGCTGGTGCCACAGATGAATGCATGTGTGTGGCTATGCACAAATCAAGAATTATATCTGTAAGAACAAAGCAATATTTACCACTTTCAGATTGTTCTTCAAGATCTCTTAAATCCCAGAGCAATATCCGTAAGTACGTATTGAACTCTGCTCCAGCTCTGCTCAATTCCATGAGCTTTTTCCAGAAAGGAATGTGCTTTTTCAACTGTGTGGTCTCCATGTGGCAGCACTTGCATAAACAATGTTAGAGCACAGCTGTCCCGAACTGTGAGGGTGCTGTGCTCTTTCCTGCCTCAGCATCTTGCTTTCTTGTAGGGCACTTTGGAGCCCTGTGACTGTCTCCTGGAGGATGGGACTTTGGCACTGTGTCAGGTAACCAGGGTTGCATTAACCCTCACAACATCCCAGTGAGAAAATATTCTGTCTTACAGGTGGGAGCCTGTGGTTCATCAAATCTATAAGAAAACACCGGGTGCTTAATTTCAGCTTATCCAACGTTTTCACAAATGAACATCCTTCCTCTGCTGATCCTGTTCCCTCTCCAGATGGACTGTAGGTAGGAAGTCGTAATCTATTCGGAAGCCAGAGTCCCAGTTTCCCTGGTGATGTGTGGGGTTTGGGAGCCAGCTGCAGAAATAGCACACACGCTTCCAGGGCTGGGTTCTTCACAGGTTTGAAAAGCTGCAGATCCTTATTAAGAGCCCAGGACACCAGGAGAGTTAAATCAAATCCGCAAGAACACGTGTCCGTTCTGTTCAGTGTTCACAGGCTTCAAACAAACAAAGGAACCAATCAGGACTTTCTTACCAGGGCAAAATTCACCATTTCTCTGACTCCTGCCAGACCTTGGCAAAAAAGTCTCTTTTTGATTGAGGATCCACAGACTGTTCTTTCTCTTCCCTCCCTCCCAGTTCCCATCCATGTACCCCCATCTCCTGCTTTCAGCCGAACCCCAAAATTAGAGGGATTAGCGGAGCTTTCCATCAGGTTTGGTTTTTTCTCACTTTCGGAATCCTGTTGCAGGAGCTCCCTCTGGTGGTCAAAATCCGTAAACGAACAACGCTCCTGCCCTAAATCGCTCTTTTTTTGTATTTTTATGCTGGAATGATTCATAGAATGACAGAATGGTTTGGGTTGGAAAAGACCTCAGAGATCATCCCGTTCCACCCCCTTGCCATGGGCAGGGACACTTTCCACTAGACCAGGTTGCTCAGAGCTCCATCCAACCTGGCCTTGAACACTTTCAGGGATGGGGCATCAACACCTTCTCTTCTACAGTCACTTTCTGACCATTATTTGTAACAGCCTTTTCTTAGCGTTTCTGATAAGGACTGGTAGCCCTTTCCAAATTCCTTTTTCCTCCCATATTTAACCACTGAACCCTTCAGTAGTTTATTACCCTTAACCCACCCTTGCTGCACAAAGGCTACAATAAGGTAGAGCCCTTTTGCCCAAACCTGCTTCCTACAGGTTTGAAAAAAAATGAACATTTTGAGTTCAGGTGGACCTTCAGAGGCAGAGGCATTGCCTGAGAGGAATGTGAGAGAAAAACAAAACTCTGAGGCACAGTCTCAGAAGAATAAAACTAAATCAGCTTGTAATTCTAAAGAATTCACTGTTAATAACAAGATTCTGAAAGAAGTTGTAAAATCTTGTGAAAACATTCTATTCACCCACCTGGCAGTAAAAGCCCCCCTGGTAGCCAGGTTTGGTTTTCCTCTCCCGATTTTATTGGCCCTACCAATTACCAGAGCTTATTTTTTCCTGAGAAGCTCTAAAATTTTGGCAACCAGTCTAAAGCCACAGTTAATCAGCAGAAAGTCTCTTGCTGAGTTCAGTGAGTGAGCCCCGAAATGCTGCCAAGTGTCAAGTGCTGTAGTACAGCAACATTCTGTCTGAGGTGATATTTGGGGATGTTAAAACAAAATAAAGAAACACCTGGGTGAGCCAGAGGCTTCATCTGCTCTCTGCTGACAGCAGTGCAAAGTGACCTGGAGTCATGTAACCCAGCCCCAACCATTCCTTGAAGGGTTTGGCTTTGTAAATCTGGTCTAGATCATGTGGCAATACTCTGTCCTACTTATAAAACTAAAGGAGGAGAAGTTCTATCTTTTGGTTTCTTTTCCCCATGAACTGAAGAAATAGAGTTTCTGCCATAGAAATGTGTTTCCTCTTGCAATTAGTTCAGACTCAGCTGCTCACAGGAGGTGCCTGTGTCCTGTTTACTCCTGTTCTTCGTTCCTCTTATGTGTGTGTGGCCTCTGCCATAACTCTTCACACCTGGCTTGGAAGTATCACCCATGTCAGAGGTTCCTGCCGCGTGCTGCTGTGTGATGTCAGCACCAAGTGGAATGCAGGTGACATGAGCTATTGCATAAAGAGCTCTGCAGAGACTTAAAAATAAATAATCTTGGAGTGAGTGATGAGTGGAATGAGCTATTGGATTTTGTGTAGGGAGGAGCTTTTATGCTGCCAGCAGGAAAATTTCTGCATAACAAAGTCAAAATTTGGGAAGTACCGTCAGTTCAGAGGGAAAGTGATGTAATGTAAGGGATGGACTAGTGGGTTTTTGTTTGAAAAATGTGCAGAATTAAGAAATGGAGCAGCCTGAACAGGAGGGAAGGGTCCTGCAGCTGAAGGAATATTTGGAATTCTTAATGGAATTGGCTGTGTGTGATGATAATTCACAATGATGATGAGATGTGGCTGTGGAGCCTGTCAGTTGTGGTCTCAAGCCAGGGATGGGGAAATAATGATGCCAAGGCAGGAGCAAGCCCTCAGCTAGGACAGGGTTCTGGTCTGCTGTGTGCAAGGGGACGGAGCTGATTAGTGTAATTTGGGAAATGAAGAACTTGTCTCATGGGAACAGGTAAAACCATGTGGTTTATTTAGGCCACAGGCCTCTCCTGGAACAGCCTGAACACACCTTGGGACAAGGTGACAAAGAGAATGACTGAGCCCTAGCACAATGGGACACAACACTTCAGAGAACTGCGAGCTGGGAATTAGTTTATCAGAGGTGTAAAATTCCACTAGTATGGAGCGGAGGGGAAAACTGAATCTTGTAAAAGTTCAGATAGTTAAAAAAAAAATAGATCTTTGCAGGAAGCTCCGCTTCCTACACAAATACACGTAGGGACTTAGATCAGGACTGTAAATCCCCACCTGATTGTGTGTTTCTCCGCTCACCGTGTGCCTTTCCTCGGGGATGGGGGTACGCGGGGACATGGCGATGCCACCCTCCCCGGACCTGTGGTCGTTCTCTACCCTGAACCCCTTGGCCTCCAACGAGCTCTGTCTTCCGCGGGCCCCGAGGGTGCCCTGGGCTGCGGGTCCGCCGGGTTCGGAGTGCACCGGGCACCGCTGGCGTGCGCCGGGTTGGGGGTGCGCTGGGCTCGGGGGGCGCGCTGGGCTCGGGGGGTGCGCTGGGCTGCGGGTGACGCTCCGTCCGCCCCGCCGGCCCCGCAGCGCCGGTGCCGCTCCGTTACCGCTCCGTTCCGCCCGGTGCCAGTGCGCTCTGGCCGGTGCCGCTCCGTTCTGCTGCCGGTGCCGCTGCCCTCCGCCCGCTGCCGGTACCGCTGCGCTCCGCCCGCCCCGGCGCTCGGTGCCGCTCCCGCGGCGCTCGCCCCGCCCGCCCCGCCGCTCTGTGCCTCGGCGTGCTCGTCTCGCTGGCCGCGCTGAGGGCGGGCCTGGCGGAGCCATGGCGGCCGTGCGGGGCCTGCGGATCTCGGTGAAGGCGGAGGCGAGCGCGGCCACGGCGGAGCCGCGCGGCGCGGAGCCCGAGCCCATGGAGGTGGAGGAGGGCGAGCTGGAGACCATCCCCGTGAGGCGCTCGCTGCGGGAGCTCATCCCGGTGAGGGGCGCGAGGTGTGGGCAGGGGGGCAGCGCCCGGGGCGGGGGGTGTCGGGGTGGGGGTGAGCGGTCTGTGAGGGCGGGTTGAGGGGGGCACTCGTGGGGAAAGCGGGGACACGGGCCGGGGGCGGGAGGGAGAGGAGGGGGGGGCTGGGGGGTGTCCGAAGGGAGCGTGGGGACGAGTCCTAAGAGGAAACGGGCGGGATGTGTGTGGGAAGGAAAGGAATAAAGGAGGCGATGGAGAACGGGGTTTGGGGTGCAATTGAGGAGTGCAGAGGATTCTGTGGGTGGGAGAGAGAGTGCAGAGGGAACACAGGCAATACCTGGAGCAGGGAACAGGGACTGACCGGGGGAGAGCTGGGCTGGAGCCACTGGGAGTGTGGGCTCTGATCAGCGGGGTTTGAGGGTTTCCTTTCTGTTTTGTTTTTTTTGTTGCTGTTGTTTTGTTCACTTTTTCATTCTTGCGAGTTGTTTCTGTACAAGTTTTAGTAGGATTAGGTTCAGTAGCGAAAAATGGGTCGCTGTTCTAAAATCTTAAGTAGTCTTTTGCTCTCCAAACTTCTTGGAAATTGCTTTAGAAACTAATCTTTAATTAGCTGGTCTGCCAACGTGCTTGTGCTCCTACCGAACATGTGGCCCGAGACAGCACCCTGCTGTACTTCCTCGTGCTCCATGAGTCAAGCTCAGACAGTAGGGGTTTTCAGCTTTAAAAATAACATTTATTTTGCCTTACTTTTTCTAGTGACTCTAAACATTTGGCAAACTTCGATGCTCTTACTAAGAAAAGTGGTTGGAATGTGTTTTTTGGTATTTCTAAACTGAGACGAACTTGCATCTAAAAAAGGTCTGTTAGCCAAAATAATTATTGCAGCACAAGTGCAAATAACACGTTTACTCCTCAAAAAGCTCCACAAACTCTTGCCAGGTGATGGTCCTGAGTGTGTCAGAGTGAAGAGGTGCCATTTGTACATATGCAAGCAATGGAGGGGACAGAATTGGATCGCTAGTGCAGGGACTGTGGGATTTAGTACATCTCTGAATTCAGCAGTCTTTACTGATGGATGGAAAACTTGTAATTTTTTCCCCCCTATTGTTCTTGTAATGGTTTCTCCATTTTTGTCCAGTTATGTTTCACCTCGTTATTCGGAAGTTGGGTTTGAAATAATGGTTAGGAATAAAAACTTACAGATGTGGCTTCGTGTTCTGACTGTTTGAGACTAAAAGCTGCAAGCTGACACTTCAGGAGTCGGGTATCATTGCTAAATCTGTTCATGTTTTACAAGGAAATTATACCCAAAACCAAAATTGTGCAAGTCTTATTTAGGAAGGATATTTGATTACTTCCCTTGTATTGCTGAGAGAGAGTAAGTAAAAACCTTGGCAGCAGGTGACATGGATACTAAATTTTATCAAAGGAAAGAATCCTTACAGTAAAGGAAGTTTCTGGTTTAGTTCATGTACTTTTACTTTCACTGACGTCAGAGAAGGTTCTTGCTTGTGTGCCTGTCTGTCTAGGGATGTAGCTTGGATCAAGGAAAAGAGGATGTATTTCTCATAGAAATGGTCAGGTTTTTTTCAGTATAACAAGTGTGTTGCTTTTGGGGTTCATTGAGATTTCATCAGCGTTTTGCTTTGTTTCAGGACACTAGTAGGAGATATGAAAACAAAGCTGGAAGTTTCATCACTGGAATAGATGTAACCTCCAAGGTAATCTTTGTGCCATGGCTCTTGAACATGTTTTCATTTTTGCTGCTGGAAAGGAAGAACCATTTCATTTCTTTCTTCTTCAACATGCACAAAGGCTTTGCCTCCTGCTCAGATAGCTGGCATGAATCACAGTTTGTGTTCCAAATCTGACTTTGGTTACTAAGATCCAAAACCTATAATGCTTCCTAATAAAATCTGTGGAACAAGGAGCTTCTCAGTTTCCAAAATTGCACAAGATCCACACAGGCTGTTGCTCATGAGCTACGTAAAAGGAGCCTGAGTTGCCAGTCTAAATAAAATCTCTATAGCCAGCTTTTAAATTCATGTTCAGAGAGACAACTTTACATTTTTGAATATATTTAAAGAACAGATAGGGAAAAACCTCTATAATCTTAAAAAATGAATTTTTCCTGTGGTGGAAATGCTTCTTTTAAAAGAGATTTTTTTTATTCTCTTTAAGCACAGCCTTTTTACATTTTATTAGGGAGGAGAGGGTAAGGTTACTGTTCCATCATGGAGTCTGAGCATTGTCCAAGATACCTTGCTTTCCATGCATCTTGATTCCCATTTTGTTGCTGGACCTACATTAAACCTACTCTGTGGCACAGAAATGTTTTACTGAGTTACTCCTGCATTCTGAAACTCACAGGTCTCTTCATAATTGATGAAATTTTTAATACAGGTTGTTGCTGGCTGGTAGATTTTAAATATCTGGTCCTTCAGTGCAATTTGTTGAGAGTGCTGCTGTGATTCCTGTTTTGACTGCATTGTTTTGTATTTTGCAGGAAGCAATTGAGAAGAAGGAACAAAGAGCAAAACGCTTTCATTTTCGAGCCGAAGTGAATCTCGCCCAAAGGAATGTGGCGCTGGATCGGGACATGATGAAGAAAGGTACGAGTTCATCCAAAAGTCAAGGAGAAAAGATCCCTTTGTTTACTTCCTCACAGTATCCTTACTTGATTTATCCTATATTTCCTGCTTTCCCAGAGGTTTTGCCAAAAGAAATCGCTTTAGGTTTTTTTCCCACCTTTTCATTTTAATTTCGCTATTTTTTAACCTACTTGACAGTTTTCAGTTCACTTCTTGTTTTACCAACCCCAGAAAGAAGAGGACATTTTTTGTGTACCTTATTTACTACCTGGCAACAGCACCTAGTGCTACATGTCCAGGATTCATCTCCTGGATCAGTGCTGCTTTAAGAATCTTTAAATTCTTTGGAAGACCAGCCCTGGAGCACTGTGTGTGTGCACGTGGAGGACTCTGTGTCCTGTGCACAGGGAGATCAGTCTCTGTGCTGTACCCACAGTGAAGCTGCACTGATGGCAAGCTGGGCATGTTGGGATATAGGCAGATCAGCCAGGAGATGTGAGCACAACAGATTGGTGCTTTTGGCACCCAGTTAGTTCTCAAGGCTTTTTTTCCAGCTGGCAGCTTGGATGTGCTAAGCTGTGGCCTGTTACAGCTCTCCAGGTCATGGAAGTGCTTTGTGCACTGCCTTGTTAGTGTTCTGGCTCTCTAATACTTCATGATAACACTTTGGCAATATTCAAAGAGAAAAATATCTTTTTAAGGCAGTTTGATTGCTGTGCAGTCCCTGCATCTACCAATGCTTGTAATGTAACCTATTAATGCTCAATTTATTAAAGTTTTGCATTGGTTGGAAGAATAAATCAAGTTACTGTATTTAGAATGGCACATCAAACATCAAGTAGCTTCCCTTTAAAATGTTTTGCTTTGTAAACCCATATGTTACTAATACAAAAGCTCAGAATAAGTACCAGTTTTGTTTCTCTTCCTCTTTATAGCAATTCCTAAAGTGAGACTAGACACAATTTACATTTGTGGAGTGGATGAGATGAGTACACAGGACATCTTTGCCTATTTCAAAGAGTATCCTCCTGCTCATATCGAGTGGTTGGATGACACATCATGTAAGTAAACAGAATATTTGTCTGTAATTCTTACTGTTTTTTCTCATACTGGTCGTAGCTGTACCTCAGATGTCTCAGTGGCTTTCAGAGTCACAGATCTTTGCCTGTCTCAGTTTCCCTGTCTGCCTTAGTCAGAAAAGATGTAGAAGGAAAGAATTAATAACATGGTGAAAATCAAACCCACTATCTAATTGAGTATCTATTATTGGGAAGAGACAGCACAGAATAACTTGCAGCTCTCTAAGTGGAAAAATGAAAGGTCTAAAATTACGTTCTGCCTCCGTCTTGACGTAAGTAGCAGATCTGAGAGAAGGTGATTGAGCTGTGCAGTTGGGCAGGTTGGGATGGTTCTGTGCTCTGAAGGAGGAGACTTGTTGCCATATTTGTGTAGTGCAGGCTCCAGGAGAAATTGGTGGGTGGAAGGAGATGGCAGCTGCATGTGATTTACATAGATGGGAAAAGGAATGTACCTGCACATGGCAAGGGCTGTTTTGGGGAGTGAGCCTGCAGGGAGATTGCCAGCAAGATAAAAGGTGGTTGTGGTTAACAGCTGTGCTTTCTTCGGTGACAGTGAAGGCTGTGCAAGAGCTACAGTTGGGATCATGGAACTGGAAGGATTGTCATGTAGCTAGAAGTCCTGTAACTGAAATCATATAAAAAGAAATAGGAGCCAGTGCTATTGTTTTATTGACAAGCGTGTCTGAGACCTGAGAATTAGTAGCAGGGTTTCCCTGGAATGACCCTGAAGGTGTTATGTTCAAATGCAAGACAAAATATATGGTATTCTCCAAAACACTGATAACTTTGAAGTCACTGTGACAGCTTGATGTACTGGCACAAGCTGATAGAAGATTTGAAACCAAATAAACCCTGGGTGGACAATTGCAGTAAAGAGCTGCTAGATGGATCTGTGGGGATGCCTAAGCTTGGAAGTGCACAGCTTAACTCTCTATCTAAGGCTGCATTTCTAAGATTGTCTCTTTCCTTGGAAGTGCACAGCTTAACTCTCTATCCAAGGGGCTGCATTTCTAAGATTGTCTCTTTCCTTTTTCTTAAATGCTACATGAGTAAATTTAACGTGGAACCAGAGTGAACTTCCAGTCCAAAAATGCAAACTTCAGAGTTGTAACAATACTTTACCCAGTTATAGTTAGAACACATCTTTTTAGTGATTAACTTTCATGCTGTATCTGAGTTAGCATGCCAACTACAGTTGATGAAAAGGTCAAGAAAAAGGCTTTGTCTTTTCAGCATAGATTTGCATCACAGCATGGCAAAACCTTTAATGTTCCCGACTGAATTACATCTCAAGGTGACTTACTGCAAAGGTGAACTTACACAGTGTGCTGTGGTTCAAACTGATGAACGTTAAATGATAAAGGCTTTGAAAATTTGAAGATGAGAAAAAGAGGCAGGCAAAAAAAAAAAAAAAGAGAAGGTATTAACTACTCATTGCAGTTAATATCTGTGTGTTCTTCACCTTGTAAATCTTGTCTGAGTAATTGAAGAGAATCTTTTATTTTGGGTCACTCTGTAGTTTTCTTGCTATCTGATTACACTCTGCTTAACAGCAGAGCAGTAAGTGACATTTGTTGCTGTATTTGCACCAAGTGCATCCGTGCAGAAAGCTTTTGTTCAAACCTCTTTCTAAGCAGTTTTAGCTCTTTCAATTTCATCTATGAAATGCTTTTAATTGGCCCAATAGGTTATATTTTAGTACTATCTGCTGCTACTTAAGACACGTACGAGGCACATACTGAATCATGTTGACCTGTGTACATGATAATCTGTGCAAAGGGCCTGAGCAGACTCTCTTATTTTCCCCTATTTTCCTGCTTTTTGGAAAAGATTAACAGAATTCCACAGTAAAGTCCAAGGTTCTGTGAAGTTGCCAAAGGGAAAAAAAAAATCGAGGCTTCAGTTCCTCCCCCCTGCTGCTCCCTTAATCACATTTGTGTGGTACAAATGTGTACATGAGTACACTGATCCCATTCAGTACCCTGATTTCTGTGCTCAGGAAGCCTCTAATATCTATGGTTGTGCATTTCAGTGATTTGGTTTTCATCAGTTGTTGTGTTTTGTAATATGCTTGAAAATTCTGTATTGTCCAGCTTATCAAGTGTGTTAAAGAATATGACTTTCCCTGCAAGAGGTGCATCTGCTGCCTCTTCTGTCATGTCACCATAGAAAAGCATTCCAGAGCTTCTGTCAGCAATTACCCTGCAGTGGGGCAGGGAATGTGGCTGCTGGATTACACAGACTGCATTTGGGTTCTGTGTGTGTTTATATCTGTCACAGGTAACGTGGTCTGGCTCGATGAAGTAACAGCAACACGAGCTCTAATAAATATGAGTTCCTTGCCTGATCAGGAGAAAACAAAGACCAGAGAAAACAATGAAGAGAAGACAGCTGAAAAAACCAAGAAAGGTAGATGGAGATATGCATATATAGACATCATCTCATTAAGTCAATGAAACTTTAAACTTATGCTGGGGTACTGCATAATCTAAATTACTGAAGGAGCTTCTATCATATAGTTTCAGGTAAATGTATTCTGCCACTTTAAAAAAGGCTTTCATCTTGGAAACCTTTTGAAGAAGCTGCTTCTTAAAAGGTGGGTTGGAGCTGGACCAAAAGCAGTAATTCAGTCGATACTGAACATGTTGGATGCAGGGTCATACTCAGATCTGGTATTTATAGTGGTGTGTGTTGCACAGAAATGAGTCTGTGTGATGTACAAAGGCAGTAAAAGGATGGATTCCAAGTGTGGAAAAAGCAGGTGTGAGAAAATGTCCTATTTTTGAAATGCCACAGTTGATTGCTTTTTTGATACATCCTTTAAGTATATCCTTCACACCAACGTGACAGTGTATCACTTCACCAGGGTGTGGATCTCCTCTAAATTTGGCCATTATACTTTTAAGAAAGAAGCGCTGAAAGATTGGTTACAAAAGAGCAAAGCAGCAAAAGTACATCTCAATGTCATGAAAAATCTGGCACCTGAATGCCTGAACTGTAAATTTATTTTACTTTGGTGTGTGTGAGGTAAAATCAGCCTTTTGCTACCTGAGGACTCTTTTGCTCTTAGGCTGGTGTGAGAGATTGTTGTGGTTCCAAGTGGATCCTTCTAACTCACCCCCTTTTCTTGTTTTCTCCACAATGCAGCAGCTCCTCAACCATCCATGTGACTTTAATTTTTGGGCAGATGTTGATAATGCTTCAAGTAAGACTTGTAATGAAGGGTTTGGAGACTAGGCACTGTCTTGCTTAAGTGGAGCACGAATATATATATTTAATCTTGTTTGCTACGAATTACATATTACATTATCATCACACCACATCTGAAAATAAAAACTGTCATCTAAATTACTCCTGCTCATCTGGAAAAGTGGGATATTAGATAAAGTACAGACTGTTCAATTACATCTTAAGGTGTGACATGCATACAGATACACTGGAGCAATCTGGCTTGGTTACATTCCTGTTTTTAGCATAGGAATTTGAGGACTATTTAGACATTTAGGGAAGCAAGAGACCAATCTTTACTGTGAGAAGCATGAGAAGCTTCTAATTTGGGGAGGGGGGGGAAGTACATGAATACTGTCCCTGATGAACCTTAATTATCCAGGTTTGAATTTGGGTAGTTTGGTTTCAGTCTGGTTAATTGTGCTCTTTTAAAAGTGTTACTCTTTTCACTTGGGAATATTTTCAGGATCTTTTGAACAGCTGCTGCTCTCTATTTTAGGTTTTCAAGTCTATTGTTGGATGAGATATAAGATAAGGAACTCTGAAGTATAAAAGAGGGGTTTTTTTTGGTCTGATGTCTGTGAAGTACTTTCAGATCTTTGCAAGTGGTATTGGTATATGTTGATAGCTGTCCATATTCACTACTTTTTTTTTTAATAAAAAAATTATGACTCTGAGCAAAAAAGAAACCCAAAAATCTGTGCAAGCATTTCACAATTTTAGTAGTTCTGGAAGCATACACTCTTAGTTATTTCACATCAAAATTAAGTCACTAAGGTTGGGGTTTTTTTCCCCTCTTCTCCCTCAGAAACCTCTAAGCTCTTGATTAATAACCTGTTTTACGCTGTTAGTATTGGATACTTGTAGCTACTTGTGGCATTTTAAAGGGAGACTGAAGGAAATGGGCTTTTATGTGCCTTTCAGCATCGTGGCCTTGCTGATCTCTGCCATACCCTGAAAATGCAGTGCAGTTGCATTTGCTTTCAGTGAATTAAATTAATAATCCATGTGTGCTGCAGGCAGTTCTCTGCACAGGGGCTCTCTAGTTTGCTTTCTGTGCTCATGAGTGCTTCTCATGTCCGTAGGCATTTGCTGGTTTGATTATTCTCTAGGCTGCAGAGGAGAAAGGAAAACACCTTCAGGTTGATTTCAGAGGATGCAGGCAATCATAATCAAATGGGGCAGACGCACTAAAATGGAGTTTGTTTGTTTTTTCCCCGTAATTTGTCTTAGAAAAACAGGAGGAAAGCTCTGATGACGAGACAGAAGAAGGCGAGGTTGAGGATGACAATCCAAGTGACGTGGAGGTCAGTACAGAAGGGAGGTGAAAACACAGAAAAGTTTTGCTCTCACTGGTGTGAAGTTCTCACAGCATTGTAGGTTTAACCATATAAGTTTGCAATTCACAGTTATCAAAGTAAATTAGATGGGGAATGAGAGGAGGTGCAGGTGTGCTGTTGGTGATAACACCAATGTAAGTGTTTTGTGAAGGCAGATTTTGAAGCATCCAGTGTGTGAGAGCGAGTCTGGCTGCTCTTTTCTGCTGAGAGGAGGCAATGAAAGAACAGTGATGGAAGGCAATGACCTTTCAGCAGTGAAGGCAGTGCTTAAAGAGACAAATGGGATTTAGGCTGTCCATAGATCTGTGGGAATCAGCATACACATTGATGTCCTGTAAGTAATTTAATCTTCACTGGCTGAGTATATAATAGGTGTGATTAGTATTTTCTTTAGGAATGGCTCAGTGAACACTCATACATCACGGAAGTCTGAATTTTAGTTTCTGTAAAGCAGCTATAAATGAAAAAGAAAGCTTTTTAGTCATTGTGTGAGGGCGTGAGAACCTCATAGTAAAGTCATTTAGATAGGAAACAAGCAAAAATAGTCCATTTTTTCAGTGTCAAAGTTGTGCTATTTATTTTCTTCATTTCAATCAGTAATATGTCACTTGGCAATTGTCACTTGACAATTACTGGATTTAATAATCTGAGATAAAGTTATGAAGCAAGAGAAGGAAGTGTTTTAAATTTTCAGGGCAATTTATGTTAAAAATTCACCTTGAACATAATTTGAAAATGCTTCTCTGCAAGCAATCCATTTTCGTTCAACAGTCATTTTATTTTTGAGTCCAAAATACCTTTTTTGCCCCCAAAGTTGGATGCCCTCTCCCAAGTAGAAGAGGATTCTCTCCTGCGTAATGATCTTCGCCCTGCCAATAAACTGGCTAAAGGAAACAAGCTATTCATGAGATTTGCTACTAAAGGTAAATGACCAGCTTAACAAGCACAGTGAATTAATTGCTTGTTGTAGTTTTATTTGTTGGCTAATTAATGACTCAAAGTACCTACTCTGTATTTGCAAAACTGTTAGTTTTTTGCTAACCATTAGGTGTTAAGACTTTACAATAAATCCACATTTAATGTGTGAATTAAAACCAGTTCAAGTTGTATGAAAATCATTGTACTGAAAGCTTTATCTTGGGCTCAGGGCATTCTTCCCAATATCATGGAATAGGTTTTATGATGCCCTTTTCAACAGAGGTAAATTTCACATTTTATAAATATGGATATAACTTGGGATGCTGATGAGGTATTAGTGGAAATTATTGCTAAATACAGTTGAGATATTAAATTATATCTATGAGTAAAATGAAAATCCATATAATTTCTGGACCATGCAGGCAGTGACACATCCATAAAGAAAGGAAAGGTTGGTGAGTAAGGTAAGTAGAGCCTCCAGCAGTGACAGAGGGATGTAATGCTCTGTTAAGCTGATATGTAGAAACTCAGTCTCCCTGGAATTAAGTTTCTAGACACAAATAAAACTGTTGTGGTAGGAGAAATTTCAGAGGTGTCAGCAAAATTGAATCCTTCATGGAGGAGGGTGAAGTAATGCTGATTTGTAAGATGTACTCAGCCTTACTTTCACTCTCTTGTGTTTGGGTGGTTATTTATTTTTATGCTGTGCTGCAAGAGATATTCTAAGAGGGAAAAATTCCTGTAATTGATGGTTTTTTTCAGATGACAAAAAAGAGCTGGGAGCTGCAAGGCGGAGTCAGTATTACATGAAATATGGCAATCCCAATTATGGAGGCATGAAAGGAATTCTGAGCAATTCTTGGTGAGTGTTGGACAGAGGAATTGGAACATTGCAGGTAATTGGACAAGATACTCTAAAATGGTTTTAATTTGTGGATTTTCTTTCTAGTCAGTTTATGTAGATGCTTCTTATGTGTAAATAAATGTGACTTTGAATTTGCAAGGAAGTATTTTTGCGTGAAAGTGAAGAAGGTTTATATTTAAAACATTCAGAACAGACCTCTGACATAAAGATATGTCTGCTGGTAAAGCAGGTGACAACTGCATATCCTTAATCCAGTGTAGCTCAGTCATTGTGCCCTTTCTGTGACAGGAATGTCATTCTTTTTGTGGTGTTTCAGGAAACGAAGGTACCATTCCCGCCGAATCCATCGGGATGTGATAAAGAAAAGGACCCTGATTGGGGATGATGTTGGCTTGACTCCTCCATATAAACACCGTCACTCAGGTAACTGGTCCCAGTGGGACAGCCCTGTAAACAGAGGGCCTTGAGCAGAACCTCACCTGATCCCCTGTGCTGTGTGGTAGTTTTCTAAAACAAAAAAATAAATCTGAATCATATGTAAGAGTTTGCAGGGAATGACTGAGGCAGAGACTCTGTGCTGCTCGTTGCTTACCAAAATAGCTGCTGCTCTTTATGTGAGATTTTTATTTTACAGATTTAGGTTGTGGGGACTTGGAGCATCGAGGGGAAAAAGAAGGGATGACTTCTTCAAAATTCTGGGCAATTTGTTGTACTTGCTTAATCAATTCTTCTGCTCTATGAGAAAGCAATCTCTAGATATAGAACAATAAATATTAGAAAATTCTATTAATTAGGCTTGAATATCTTCATCTACTCCCTAAGGTAGAAAGATAATTCATATAAAAATCTGGCATGAGACAGTGTCAAATTTTCATATGATTGGCCTTTTAAAATACAGCCATGGCTGTATCAAATCTCATGGCAGATTTTATGTGTTGGTAGTGTACTGCTTTCTGAAAAGATGCCTGCACGCTGCTGATGACTAAATTTAAGTTGTTTATATTTAAATCAGAGTCTGTGATGAATTCATAATAAAGATACATGCCTTCTTTTTGGCATTACTGCTTACAGGACTTGAAAGGATTATTGCAGAGCCAGCAGTTGGCACATTAAGCCCTGCAAGATCACAGGAATTGTTGTGCTTAGTTAAGGAAGTAAGAACTGCACCTTCTACAAGAGGCAGTTTTAGTTACTCTGCCCAGCTTTATTCCTGGTCAGGCCTCTGAGGTAGTGAACTCCAGGGACATTTTTGTCCTGTGGCAGTTTCCTTCCACTTAGGCTATTCTGTAATATCGATTCCACTTAGAATATTTTGCAAAACATTCCCTTTCTTTAGCCTTAGAGAACTACAAAACTCTTTTGTAAGAGACCACTCATTACAGCGAGGTGGGTTTTCTTCGTGCCTTGGTTTTGAAGTGCTTTACTTGGATGATAAAATTCAGTTTATCAGAATGAGTTTGCCTTGCTACAGGCTTAGTAAACGTTCCTGAAGAGCCTATAGAGGAGGAGGAAGAGGAGGAGGAGGATCAGGACATGGATGAAGATGACAGAGTGGTGGTGGAGTACCGGGATGAGCTGCAGGCCTTTAGGCAGTCCCGGGAGCGCAGCGCAGCCCGACGGTCGAGTGCCAGCGGCTCTGACTCGGATGAGATGGACTATGATCTTGAACTGAAAATGATATCAACGCCCTCGCCCAAAAAAAGCATGAAAATGACAATGTATGCAGACGAGGTGGAATCACAGCTGAAGAATATTAGGTAAAGGTTTTTTGCTCTTTAAAACTAGCAGTGAAAAGGCATTCCAGATTTTAATCGGTGGCAGAGCTGTCAGAGCTTGCAGACAAGCTGTAATTTTGTAGTAGATATTTTAAAAACTAATCCAGAAACAGGCTTTTAATAAAATTAACATGATTTTAAATACAGCTTCTTTTGCAGATCTCTGAATTCTGCTCATTGATAATAATGAAACTTGAAGTAGAATCGATAGAAATTTATGCAAACAACCACAGTGAACTTCATGCACTTCATATAGTTAGGCCAGGGAGAAATAACTCTCCTCTTTTCCCTTCACCCCTTCCTCTCTTCTCAGAAAGAAGAATAACCCTTAAGTGTTGATGACAAAAAGGAATTTATGCTCATTATGGGTTTATTAACCAAAATTATAGATTATATAATTAAAACTATGTTATAGATTATTAAAGGAACTTTAATGTGTCCCTTCAGTAGTATGGTTATATTTTGTAATAACGTCAAGGCCTTGAACAATTTTGAGGCTGCTCATCTGTGCTGAATTATGACCCAGAGGCACAGCCTTAAGGAGACAAACTCAATACCTGCCTTGAAATGGATACAGAAGTATTCATGGGATTATTGTTAAATTCAGGATTCTTACTGGAACATGCGCTCATCTAAACAATGTTTTTACCTCTGTTTCTCAGTAGAAAAATCCTGATACTACTTTTTTTCTGTGATGTAATCTTACATACAAAGAGACCTAAGAACTGTACTAATGTCATTTAATCTAAGGGACATTAAATCTATTTTGTAGGAATTCCATGCGAGCAGATAGCATAGCAACCAGTAACATCAAAAACAGGATTGGCAGCAAAGGATCATTAGAGAAAGTTGCAGATGTGAGACTACTGTTAGAAGAGAAACGTCAGAATAGCACTGGGCCACGTCAGCCAAACAGCACTGTAAAATCAGGTAATTTTCAACTCCTTTATATATTCATTTCACATCTGTGCTCCACTGGAAATAACAAGCTCTGCATTCATACAGTCTTTCCACACTCAGAGACTGAATTGGGGATTGCTTTGGGGAAAAATGAAATACACTGTAGTGAAAGCTTATTTAGTGATGTTGATTTTTATCCATTTTCTTTGCCTGTGTCCATTCCCCCTCACTCAGTCTCTTGTGATTTGCTTGGGGCAGAGATTCCGTACGACTCAAACACAGCACAGAGGGAAGGTCATGCACAAAATCCAACATAAAACACTAACTACACTTATGTGAAAGAGCATGTATTGCATGAATATGGATGTTCTTTCACTTGGCAGGGTTTATTTCTGAGCTTACTTGCCTGTTGTTTTTTTGACTCAAGTGTGTATGATTTCAGCTACCTCTGACATACTTAATATTCTGAGGATTATCTGACTGATAAGGGAAAGATGTGCTTTTGTATCAATGTAATGTCAAAGTTTTATTAGTATATTTTACCCCTTCTGCCTGTTTTGGACCTCTGACAAGTTGGCACAAAAGTTCTGTAATTCCCTGTGCCTTCATATTTTTGTTTGAACCCCCTGTGAGACAAGGAACATCTGGCTAAACCAAACCTCAGAATGCAAGATTCAAATCAAAGGCTAAGTATCAATATATTTAGGATTCTTATATTCTGGTTTTCATTTTGTTCTGCAAAATATCAAGAAGTATTAGAATTCTAAAGCAAGGTATCTGTTATCTGAAAAGAATTACTGAATGTATACTTCTTTTCATGGAATCTTATCTCATGCTGTGCTGCTAAAGCAGAAATGCAGCAAGCCATGGAATAACTTAGTTTTCTGATCTTTTGGACAGAGCACAACCTGAAAACATTGTCAAATTTATTGCCAAAAATGAAATGAAATCTGGGTAAATTGTATTGCAGACATTGCCAGGACTGAAATCTGATTATGAAAGACTTAAGTGAAAAGACCATAGAAAAGATGAAACCAGACAAATGCTGTGGTTTTAAGTTGTACAAATTGTGAGCAAGCATAAAATCAGCTGGCAGAGCTGGAGTAAATGCAACATGATTTTTTGGTCATTTTAATCACTGAAATCATCCCTAGATGTGCGGCAAAGACTGGGAAAAAGGCCACATTCTCCAGAAGCTAAACCTCCAAGTAGTACCTCTGCTCCTCGTCGGGAACCAATCTCAGATGTCCACAGCAGGTTAGGAATCCCCAAACAAGATGTGAAAGGCCTCTACTCTGACACCAGAGAGAAGAAATCAGGTTAGTTCTGTGGGGAAAGTGTAATGATGCAATTCCTTTGATTCTGGAGTATGAGTTATTCCAGCAGAAAGTCACGAAAGAGGTTCAGCTGAGTGAAATTCAACTTATAAATTGGCAAGTGTTTGTTCAGAACTTTGAAATCTAACTACTTGTAGGTAGGAGCTGGGAATGTTTCTGGGCAGTATTTTTACAGAGTTATGCTGAAAAGTCAAGGACCACTTTAAAACTGTGGTCAAAACAGGGCACTAAAACAAGTGTAATGAATGCAGTGGCACTTCAGTGCTGTGTGTAGAATTCTCTGCAAATGGGCAACAGTGAACACGACTGCCCTGAGCCTCCTGTAGTTTAATTTCAACTCCTGCTTCAAAGCAGAATCAGTTCCATGGCAGACATTAAGGTGAAAGGAGTACGAGGGGTTTAAAGGGATGCAGTGAATTTAAGATTTGATTCCTTGACTCATCCAGAATTCCTTAGTCCTGTTTTGTTTTTGTTTTTTTAATGTTTATTTTTCATCTGATTAGGTAATTTATGGACCCGATTGGGGTCTGCTCCGAAGACACAGGAAAAGACTTCAGATAAACCTGAAAACTCTGTGGCGTCTCCAGAGGAAGAGGATTCCGAGCTGCAGCGGGTTTGGGGGGCTCTCATTAAGGAAAAAGAACAGTCTCGGCAAAAAAAGAGTCGGTTGGATAATTTACCATCCCTACAAATCGAAATCAGCCGAGAGAGCAGTTCTGGCTCAGACTCTGAATCATGATGGGTTTCACATCCTCATCCTCAAGATTGTGACTCTGCAGTGTGGCAAGATTTCCTTTGCCCAAAAGCTGGACACTGGCAAAGACTCTGCAGTGAAGGTCCCAGAAGTGTCTCTGTTCCTTTTATACAAAAAGAGTTGCATAAACCACTTGAAACCTAAAGCAATCACATTGTCTGGAGTCTGTGGTTGGCCCTGTGTTATGTAGGGCATTGTCATATATGTTTATTACAGCAAACCTGTAGTTAATTCTAGCAAAACACTTTCCCCCGAGCTCTGAACTTAAAAGAAGAGGCAGAAATGCTCTGTATTTTTAATGAGACCTTTTTGGTTTTAATATTTTCATCATGGAGGCTTTTAACAAAATGTTTTACACACTTCATCCAAAGAACAGGGCTCATGATCAAGATCATTGCCTTGCCCTTCTGGCTCTTACCAGCACCTTTCCTTTCCTCTTGAAGTAATAACAAAAATGCTTCCTGGGTGGGCAGCCAGCAAGGATAAAGCATGAAGGGATTATCACATTCCCTTCCTCCAAAACACTGAATGTAAATCCAAGTTAAATAATATTTTAGTACAGTTAAATTTCATGTATCCCAGTGGTATCACCACTCTCAAGGAATTCTCATTTATTTTGGTGATACCACGTCCTGCTGTAGTAGGGATTGAGATGTTCAGGACTGCAAAGTTGGATGTTTATGAATTGTGTAAATCCCCAGGGGGTTGGTTTTTCGTTGTTGTTGTTGTTACATGATGGGAAATTATATTTCTTCCATTTCACCTGGATTATGTTTTGCAGCACTCTTAACAGTTGGAAAGCATAACATTTTTATATTTGTGAGAATTTTCCTGTTGGCCACGGTGAAAGCTCTAGTGGTGTTCTCCTATGTGCTGTTTATCTATATATATATATAACTGAAAGAGAAAAGGAAAACTATAGGATCACTGTCTCATGTCAATACTTTTGAATGTTCTTCCTGTGTAGTACATGTGGATGTGGACATGGTTGACTTGTTACATTCAGCTTTTTTACCTGCACATTTTCCCTTCCTAGGTAGGAAAAGAGTTTGATCAGTGTGCATCTGCCATTTTTTTCTTGTTGCCTGTGGGCATTTCTTTTGGCTGCCGGTAATTCTAAGTGAGGAATAATGCAGCACATCACATTCAGGTAAACAACTGGTAGCAAAAACATCGTCTGCTACATTTTGATAGTCTGAAAATTTGTTTGCATTGTCCCTATTTTCTCGGTTCTGTCAGTCCAAAAATGTCTGTGAATATCTCTTGCAGTTCCTGCTTTTTAACGAGCAAATGTTTTCTCTTTTTTCCCCCCCTATTTTTGTACTAAGTTGAAGTAGGTTTGAGGTTTCAGCAAGGAATCTGCAATTAACTTTTCTTACTGCTTTGCTATGTGTAAGAAATAGCAGCATGTAAAATGAAAGGCAAAATGAAAGGTACAGTGACTAGAAGGGCAATCTGGGGGCTGACCAGGCTTCAAGCCTTACCATTTCCTTGTTTTGTGACACTCATCCTTGATTTTATATTTAATTATTGAATATATAAATGTCTCATAAAAGTACTGTTGAGAGTAAACGACTGCAATGTCTGATCACTGTAATAACTCATTTTAAACGTGTGCTTTCATTAATATCCTTCCCAAAGCTTTCCAAGAGAACCATACCTATACCATACCCATTTCTCAAGATCCTGATAAAGTTTATTTAACCGGTGTCTTTTTGCCAGTAAACCTTTGTGTTGTATTACTGCTTTAAAGCCATTGTGACCTTTCCTTTTCCTGAAAGGAGGTGGTAGATGGGAATCACACCACTGGTCTGTGAAGTCAGGCTTCTGCATTGTTGGGAACTCTTGCATGTCTTTAAGATCAGCAGCTGGTTGTGCCCCACTGTGTTTCCATGTAAATACTCATAACTTGGGCCTGGTGAAGGATAAATTAACTGGGAATGGGAGTAGAGAATCTGATAGAAAAGATCTGAACTAATGGATGTGTGAAATCAAAGAACAGCCATGTAGGCACGGGACTTTAGTTGAGGAAGAGGCACCTTGAACACCAGTTCTGCCTTCCAAGTTGTCCTAAATAGTGCCTTAAAAGTGCCTCTGTATTATTCAGGTCTATTGTATTTATGATTTGGGGGGGTTATGTGTGCTATTGAGACCACAGTAGCTTAGCAGCTTAGCTGCAAGAAAAATAGAGGTTTACTATAAAATAGGGGCTTACCATTGAAGGAACCTACAGAGAGAGTTTTGTAATTGAGTGTTTGCCTGGTTCTGCATTTTGATGATGTACAAAGGAGCCTTGAAAAGTATTTGCTGATACCAGGAATTCTTTTCAGCTTTGGTCTTCCTTAGTTACGTGAACAAGAGCTGCTGGGATTTGATAATTAAAAAATGAGCATTGAATCTTCAGCGAATGCTTTTTCCTCAACATTTTAAGTTAAATCTATTTGATCTGGGGAGAGATTGCAAAGAGAATTGTGTTCTAAGTCCTCTTTGTGCTCAGCTGTTTTGCCCTTACCCAACATGTTCTTGATTTTTCACTGAATTCCCAAATATTAATCACCTACAAGAATTTGATGCAGAAATTAATGTTCTGACACTGAGATACCTGTGCAGTTTACTAAAATGAACTGAAGTTGAAAATTACAAGGAGAATCTTGGCTTTGGCTCTTGCTGGATGGATCTGTGTCTCGGAGGAAAAACTAGTCTGAATTTTAATTATAGGAGCACAGTAGTCTTTCTTGTAGGAGGATTTTGGTTTGAAAAGGTGTATTTTTGATAAATAGTTCTTCAGGCAGAACGAACACGTGGCGTTGATAGACTTTAACAGGGTGGTGGTTTTGTGTTTGTTTCTAAGGTGTTGGGATGTGCCTGACAGGGAAAAGGAAAGCAAAACCCCCTTATTTTCAGTTCAAGATGACATAAGGTGAAGAGAATAGAACTTTTATTTTAACAGCCGTTCTGTTCTAAATTAAAAGTTGTCTGGAATCACTGTGACCTCTCCAGTCCTGCCGGATCACCGAGGGGTGGTGCTGCCTTGGCTGCCCCACGTGGGGCTGTGCCTGGCCGGGTCCCTGCCCACTCGTGCTGAGCGCGCTCTGCAGCTCTCACCCGCGCTCAAGCGGTGCCTAAAGCCGGGTTTTAGTGCCGGGGAGGCTGAGAGGACCCCAAGGCTCCTCCCGCCACGTTCCCTCCTGGCCCCGCGGAAGGAAGCGGCAGCCTCGGCGCACCCCCGCCTGGCTGGAGGAGTGGCCCAGCCCGCCCCCCCGCCGCGGGGTGGTACGTTCCAAAGGCTTTATAACCAGCCGCTTGGCCAATTCCCACCCTTTCGATTTATGCGGCTGGCGGAGGGAGGGTGTTGTGCATGACCTCCAGCGCGGGCTCGGGGCCTAGGTCGGGGCCGGCTGGGCGGGCAGCGGGGAGGCGATGGCCCGACGTGTAGGGTCGAGGCGCCCTTAACATTGAGCAGGCTGAAGGGAGGGCTCACCCCCCCGCTCTCTGCAGTGGTGGCGGCTGCCGTGCCTCGCTGGGCCGCGTGGGCTGGGCCGGACCATTGTAGAGGTGGGGGGGGGAGCGTGGCGCCTGAGGCCGCTGTCCGTTCAGGCGGCCATGGAGGCGACATCGAGACCGGGGCCGGGACACGCGGGGGCCGCGGATGCGCCTTCTCGGTAAGTCAAGAGGTGCTTGGCCTGGTCGGGGCCCTGGGAGGGCACTGTGTGTGTGGATATACCGCCGGGCGGCGAGGAGGGGGTGGAGATCACTGCCCGGAGCTCCGTGAGGGCTCTGCGGGTAACGCTGCTGTGCTGGGTGCGCGGCAATCAGTGCCTTCCATGGATTTTTATGGCGCTGTTTCAGGAAATAAGTCTCTTATTTTTGTTTGTTTTTCGATGTGCCAGACCCTTTCTGCACAACAGACATTACAAACTCAAAATTGGAGTGTCTGCAGTTTCGATTTTTGAAAATTGCCCTAGTGGTAAATGCAGTCTGGCAAGCTGCGTTTATATACTATTCTAAATTTAGGTAGTTCTCAATTTCCTGACTAAAAGCAATTTAGAGAGGATTGTCGACTACTACAGCCTTTCTGATGTAAATATTTCGGTGATTAATAGCAACAGAAACACAGCTGGAATTGAAAGCAGAGTGTTGGTCATGAGGGTCTGGTTTTGGTGGTGGGTTTTACTTTTTTGTTCCTTTTTTTCCTGTATAAACCAACTTTATACTTTAATCTAAAATTACTGCTGAAAAGTATTCTAATAATACTTCTCTTTTATCCCCACAGCAGAAAGATGACTTGAAGTAAAGAGTAAGTTTAATTTTTTTTTTCTATTTAAGTGCACAAGCTGTTCCAGGCCTTTACTTAATGCTAATGATGCAACGTGGGACTGTTAGCTGAAAATAATCTGTAACAATTACATCTTAGAGCAAGCTAAATAAAGTCATGTACCCACAAGTTAAAGAGTTAAAGCGTCTTATACACAAAGGGGAAATTGTACAACCGTTTAAGATAAAACAGGCACTGTTTTATAAATGGTGGGGTGCAGAAGCTGCTGGCTGTTGATGATGATAACCCGGAATAGGAAGTGCCGTCAGATGCGAGAACTGACGATACCCTTCTTACTGTCTGAAATACAGCTACAGACATGCAGTTCGAGTCACAGAAATTTGTCTTCTAAAACTAATCAGGCAACTTTTATTTGTGCTTGCTGTCTGTGAAAAGCGCCCTAGAAACGTTTAACCAAGCTTTGTGTCCATCTGTTCCCCTTGACCTGCAGAGCCTGGTCTTTCCAGGTAGATGTGAAACAACAGGATGGGGCCAGGTTGCTCTTCTGGGATGGCCCGAATCTGAAGGTAAGAAATGAATTTCACTGGAACACATAGAGCTTTATGCCAGGTGAAATCTAATTTGAGAATGAATGAGCTTCATAGGCTGTAAGGAACTCGATAGGTGTGTTTTGTCAGCTTGACTCAGTCTGCTCTCCCTCATCTCTTCTTCATAGTTTAAAGCCTGATACTTATTTCTTGATAACTCTGCATTTAGGTATAGCTGGCAGGTCTGTGCTGCCATGTGCTGGTTGTTACTAATGTCCATCCATTGATGTTACAGCTCTTTACAAGCCCTGTGGAAGGTGGTGAGACAGCAGAGCAAGAGAGTCTCCTGGGTGAGTTTAATGGTTAGTGTGCTCTTGGTTTAACATGGCTGCAGTCTCAGGAACGTGTTTCTGCATGTTCTTAGCTCTAAATGTATAATTAATGAAGTTCTAGGCCAAAAAACCACTTTCTTAGACTAAAATACAGGCAGTAGAGGTGTAAGAGCAGCTCTCCTGCACTGCAGTTTTGCTGACAGCACTGTGTAGAGCAAAGACACAAAGGTCTTGCTTCTGCTAGAAATGCATCAATTTACCCAAAGATATCATATGATGAAACTTAACCAAAAATTGCTGGAATTACCGGCAGATTGACTGGTGGTGAGCAAAGGTTTTCTGATGATATCTCCTGCATGAACAAGTGAGTTAATAATGGTGTGGAGTGGTTACCTTAACCCTGCTGCTCTGTTACAGGTGGTGATGGTGCAAACAGCTGGTCTGGGGAGGAAGGAATCCAACAAACCACGTGAGCTTGAGGACTGGTGTTTGTAGACACAAATTGTTTTTCTGGCTGAAGGTGCTAAGAAACGACAATGGTTACACTGTTCTGATTACACAAACATTAAAGTGATCTCTTTCAAAAAAACACTGAGTCTTTTCTTATCACTTTACTGCATTAAGGAATGACTTTTTCATTACACAGCACGTTTTTAATAAACACATTGGGCTATAACACACTCCTGTAATTTGCTATAATATGATAAAGAAGATGTACACAGGCTGCAGTGTATTTACTGCAGATAATGTCAGTGGGGTTTAGCCGTGTAAGCATTTTGTATTTGTTTGGTAATTAACTTGTTTTAAACAGTTTATACAAGTGATACTAATAGTGCTGCTGTAGTGCTGTAATTACTGGAGAGAGTAACCCTTAAATACTTGACAAGAAGAGCAAATGCAGCTATTTCTGTAGCTTGTTTCCAGGCTCGCTGTTTCTTCATTATTTTGGCCCCAGACTTTAAATTAAGCATCATAATTTAACTAATACCTCATGAGCACGTGCTCATTCTGTGCCAAGAAGGTGAACAGCAGTGTCAGCTGTGCAGCTCCAGGTAGAAGGGTTTGAAAGTGGTGGAAATTTTGCTGGAAAATGGGCTGGGAAAAAGCCATTCAGGACAGCCAAAACAGTCAGAATGGTAGTTTTCAGTCAAAATGTGATGAGCAATATTTTTGCTGTAGTAACTAAAGTGAACAGATCAGGTTGTCATAAAACTAAAAGCAGGGATACAGTTTCACCCAGGGATTTCTGGCTCATAAAAGCAGTAGGTGTGAGCTTAGGGTGGGACAAAGGAAGAAGTGACAGCAGAACATAAATGTTATTCCAGCCCTGGATCACATATAAGAGTTCAGGGTCTGCCCAAGCTGTGGTTGCACTTCCCTGTGTAGTTCAGGTAAAGACCTGAATCTGTTTTAATTATTTCCTGACTGGAAGAAGATGCTGTGACTTTGTGCTGCCCTCATGGCATCACAGGGCACTGTCCCTTTCCCTCCAGTAGCACAGGTGGGCTGTGCTGTCTAGGGTGTAAATCATATAGAATGTAGGATTTCACAGAGGTTGCTCTTATTGAAAAGTCAGGAGTTAAGCACTCTG